GAGCAGTCAAGAAGTGTCTCCTTGGACAGCAGCATACCACTGGGGACTCTGAAAACAACAGAGACAGAGCATTCAGAGTGCTGTTCCCTGCATGTTTCAGGGGAAAGAAGCAAGATCCTTCCCAGAGGTAAATCCTTTCTGCTGCTGTTGTTTTTTTCCAAGTGCTTGGGCATCCAATCCACATTCATCCTTTCCCTCTAGCTTATCTTTTCTGGGGACTCTGAAAACAACAGAGACAGAGCATTCAGAGTGCTGCTCCCTGCATGTTTCAGGGGAAAGAAGCAAGATCCTTCCCAGAGGTATATCCTTTCTGCTGCTGTTGTTTTTTTTCCAAGTGCTTGGGCATCCAATCCACATTCATCCTTTCCCTCTAGCTTATCTTTTCCTGACTTTGGAGAGCAGTCTTCCTTATCTAGGAAACAAATGGCCTCCACCGAGAGCTCAAAACAGCAAAGCCATTTATCTGTTTGACATGTGTTTGCCTGTTTGTTTTCTCCAGCCTTGAGACAAGTCAACTGTGGATGGCTGTGCCCCAGTCACTTGAGAGACATGAATCAATTTCCCAGCTGCATTTATCACTTGCTGCCTTAAATCAAGTCTAATCAATGCTTCCTTCATTTGGTATGGATTGAAACTATATATAACACACTCAGAAAACAGGCGGGAAAAGGAGCAGAGCACAAAAATTCCACTGGGGATTTAGATAGAATGATGTTAAGGAAACATTTGCAAACTTTGATTTGCTTTAATGGAGACCCCTGACCAAAGAATCACAGAGGCTTGCATTTATGAAGCTTAACTTGAATTTACCTGACATGCAATGACACTACATGACAGATCATTTTATACAGGGGAATTTCTGCATCTTTAAATATCTTATAATTAACAGTTTGAGGATTTGGTGTATTTTTTATAGTTTCATTCTTATATGAAGTCATTAACTCATTTCTATTTCTTTTAGAGGCATCTCTTTTGTCACATTGATTCCATAGGTCAATTTCTAGTTACAACATATAAAACAATAAAAATATCTTTATAACAACATAGACATCCAGGAGCCCCTGTTTTAAAATAATAATTTTATAAAGTCTTAGAACTAAGAAGACTTGACCCTCTACCTACTCTTCCTCAATTCTTGGTGATATAACTTGATCCACACAACCAAAGTGGATTTTTCATTAGCAGGTGTGAAAACCGCCCCCCAGCTGTCAACCAATTTAGAATGTAGTAGGGAGCAGCCCTGTCTCATTATAAGTTAATCTTGTGCCAGTGAAAGATGATACCAGCTGAGTTACTGGCACCTAAAACTGACCATGCCCACAGCACTCCCTGCATTATTCTTCAAAGATAATGCGAGAGGAGAGACAGAACATAGAAAAGTAGGTCAATGATAATGCAAGCCTGGATGAGGCAGTGCTGTGATTCACTGATATAATATTTCTATCTAATCTGAACCGTGTAGACTTTTACCACAAGCATGCCTCTGAAGCGATCACAGGGCTCACTCATCTTCCCAGGGCTGGCTCCCCCAGCTGCCTGTTGGTAGGTAGCTAACGGAGTCCTGTTCAGCTCTGCAAAGTCAGACAAGAACAATAAACTCCTATGTTGGTCGAATACTTTCCAGTTTGTAAAGTGTTTTGAGCATATATTCTCATAGTCCTGTAAGATAAGTGATAAAAGGAGTTCTCCTATTTTCAAGATGAAGAGAAAGATTCGGAGTTTGGAGTATCCCATTGTGGATCGATCCCACCTGAGCTGTGGCTCTGGAACTCCACGTCTTAACCCCACTGAGCTCCAACTAGGCAGTCACAGAGGCTTCTTTCCTGTTCTTCCCCCGACTTATCTTTTTCCCCCATCACCCAGGGTTCCTGAGAAACTCATCTGGTTAGAGGAGATCCCTAAAGTTGCTTGGCAAGTTGTGTAGTTTAAAAAAAATAAAAAAGGCTGCACCTTTGGGCATGTTTTGGGTTACAGATGTAGTGTGGTATAGAGTTCTTAGCCTCTCTTAAACAAAGACAGAGTAATGTGATATAACAAAGGCAGAGTAATGTGATATAACAAAGCGTTAACCCCTGTGAACAAAGAGAGGGTAAGAGAAATGCTGCAGACGTGGAGTGTGAAATTAAGGAGCTCACTCACACTGTCTGTAATACTCACGAGCTGCTCAAGGAGCTCCTTGGCTTTGAGGATGGCTGAGAAGGATCATGTTTGCTCCTTCTTTGAGGAAGGGAGTAACAGGTTTCTCCACCCAAGACAAGTCTCACTGAAGTAGATCCTATTAAGATTCCTAAGTAAGGACAGAAATTGATGGAAGGAAGAAAACTTCCATGGCTTTAAACTTTTAGACAAGAGTGGATTTGCTTAACTTGCTTGACTTTACTGGAAGTAAACAAGGGGAGTATAGAATAATGCTTTTTCACACTGGCTTTGAATAGTCGTAATGTCTTACTGAGGACAGATGCGTTTGCAGTGGTCACAGGGATTCTGAAGCTCTCCAGGGAGCCTGAGAAAAGTCTTGAACATATTCTGACAAAGCTGTTATAGTGTTCAGGTGTTAACATGATTTCAGGTGGCATAGTCACCCCAACTACCACGTTAATACAAACTGGAACTTTTTTTTTTTTTAATCAGAAATACAGATACTCGCAACATTTATAAACCCCAAAGTAAAAGGGACCATACCCTTTCTTGGAATAAAAAATGCTACTGAGATTAATACATATCGATTTTATTTCATCTCCTCTCCAAAGCAAATTGGTTTATTTCACTTGGTCATTCATTCCACAAATATTTATGGAGTACTGAAAATATGGGTGCTGATGATTGAGTAGTAACAAGACACGACACACACCCCACCTCCCCCTGCAGCTTACATTCCAGTGCGAAAATTCACATTTAAAATATTAATGGAAACTTACACTTCCATTCAAGATGGACTAACAGGGACCAAATTTTCTCTCCCACCTCACATAACTAAAAAACAGGAAGAATACATGAAACAATGTTTTTCAAGACACTGAACATCAGGCAATGAAAGACAGTGATCCCAAGGGAAAGGGAACAAGCAAGGTAAACCCCAGGATTGCCCCACCTAATGCCTCCGAAGACTTTCTCGGACAATGCAGGGAGGGGCAACCCATGCAGAACCCAGTGGACTCCGGAGTTCAAGAGACAGAGCTGAGGGCTTAGGGAGACCAAGGCAGCTAGTGTTTGTAGTATAGGATTCCAGAGAGGTGACAGCTGCAAAGAGAACCCCAGATATCCGGAGAGAGTTCCCCTCTAACATTCAGGAGAGAACTTAGCGATAAGGGCTGGGAAAGAACCATCTGAAAGGACTAGAAGATACAGTGCCTTCTTCAATCAGCTGGACTGGAAAAATTCATAATTCATGGGGTATGGATAGAGTACTCAGGGAAATCAGCAGTGAGAAATAAACTGCTCCAGACCTGCCTATCAAATTACAAAGGCAAGACCCACAAGGATCAGTCAATTTCCAAGTCACTAAACTACATCCCAAAACACAGCTAAAAAATATCTAAGAATACATCTCCAGCACCCAACAAGGTAAAATAACAAGTCTGGCATCTGATCAAAGATTACAAGGCATGCAAAGCAGCAGAAAAACATGACTCAAAATGAGGGCTTGTATCCAGAATTTATAAAGAACTCTCAAAAA